TTCCCTTTTTTAGAATAATGCTCTTCCACGAATTTTCATGTCAATATTGTTTTTCTTTACGAATTCTGCCAATTTGCATGCATCTCACCAAATGTCGTTTCACTTGATTTTGTCCGAATTGCGCATATTATTTGGTTGACCGAAAAGTCCTGTGGCACTTCGAACAAATTGTTTTAGAAAAACAATCCCAAGCACTTTAACACATTCGGCCGCTCGCATACTGTAGAATATTCCTCAAGGTTCAGCACAGCGCTACATAATGGCCCCAGGAGTTCTATTGCGCTATGGATCATGATGCTTTTCGACTAATTCCTTATTTTGAGTTTGGGCACGCCTATACGCAGAAGGTGAGGGATCCAGAACCCGGGCTGCAATCTAGAGGAATGTCGTTTACTATGCCGCCATCGTACGCCTCGTTGACTGGACCCTATAAGGAGTCGTATTCAGGTCGCTGGAGGGGAGGGGGGTGGACGCAGCCGCCTCGCCCTCCCCATTTTCGGGATAAGTGTATAGGTTGTAAAAGGGAGTTGGAGTACCGGATGTGGGAATGTGGGGGTCCTTCTTGGCACTTGGTCGCTAAGGAGGGGAGTATGTATAGAGGAGCGTTCAAGACAATCGTTATTTGCTCAGTCGCGCGCGGCGGTGGGCGCTGGGTTTCGATATTTTCGTTTGCCGCCGAGTGGAGCAGCAAACCACAAGTAGACTACGCCATCGTAGACATTTATGGCTATATCTGGTCTTACATTGTCTATTGTAGTCATACACGACCTTGAATTTAGCCGGCAGGGACGTCGCGTGCGACACCCACCAGGCGCAGCAATATTAGTATTTGTCCTGTCACAAGCCCTGCTCACTGGTCATATTTGCATTTTGGCATAACAAAAATTATCAGCGAGGCGCGTGAAGCTGATTTTTTTGTTCATATTCGGCTATCAACTGATATTGTTATCATCGCCTCCTTAGTTACCGATTGCCGTACTTTGTCAATGCATAATGAATTCTTAGTTTTTGGGAGTTGAGGGAGATATAAACGGATAAAGTTCATTCAAAAACGGCCCAGTTTTGTTTCCACGACGGCAGGGGAACGCTTTAGGCAAAAACCGGTTGAGAAACATTTCCGCCTACCCAGCGTACTAACCAGGTATTGCCCTTCTATATAAACATGCTATGTCATAAACAAAATACTGCCAGCAAGCTGAAAGAAAAAAAATCGATGAATCCATCGGCGCTAATGAGATCGGCCGTTTTTTAAAACTCATTTAATTTTTCTGAAGGGTCAGAATCGGTAAAGTTGCCCTGTGGATGGGGAAATATTTTAGATACTAACGGTGATAGCCTCACCCACTGAAAGATCCGTTAAATGGAGGAATATCCAAGGGGTAAACTATCTGTCGAAGTGTCTCACTACTTCTCCTTCAGCCCTCGCGTTTCGTAACCGCCATTTCTCCGTTTTAGTGGTAGGTGTCGTAACTTTTTTCACAGAGGAAAATTCACGGAAGGTTTCCAGACAGTCCGATGGATCCTCCAAATTTCTCGGTGCCGAGAAGATTTTCGCTCGATGGTTGTACGTTGCCGTCGTGCTGAAGTGCTCGAAAACCACGGTTGGTACAAAATAATTTGTTAGGGAAAATCAATGGAGATGTTATATTTACGAGAAATGTTAACCTCTTAACCAAAACAGTGAATGATGCAAGATGCGAAGAAAAGGGCTTGCCTTTCAAAGTGGCAAAAAAGATACTTGAACTATGGCGACATGACTTTCCGTATCACTTGTGTAGGGCTTAATGGGAATACGTTCACAACGCCTTCATAATCAGTCCATTCGATATCTCTTAGCTGACGATCGGAATCCGGCTGAGGTCTTTAATGCTCACCAAAAAAGGTGTGAGTTCCCCATGGTAAGGGAAAGCCTCCTTCTCGCGTTGATGCATCTCTTTTTTTGGGATGTGATGGCACTTTCTACTCTCATTCCAGGAATCGTCCGTGGCTTACTGAGTGAGATGTGACCCATACAATGACTTTGCAGGGGCCAGGAGCAGCCGACATACAAGTCACTGTTCTTATCCTTCCAGATGAATCTGGTACTGAACTGTACACTCACCGGGAGGTAGTTGGCTTGGTTGGGCCTACCTGCCGTCTCAGACCGCGCGCGTAGTTACAGCGTTGCGCATTCTCTATCTCTCCCGCTCTTCAGATGGATAGAATCAGACAACAATAGGGCTTATGGAGATCATCAAGTGTCGCCCGCAAATGAAGAGAATGAAGAGACTGATTTCTCCTCAGGCTTCAGCGCATTACAACCGCAGGTCTAAAGCATATAAAGAGCTTCTATTCGGTACCGCGATGAATTGAAGTCCATTAGCCCATTTGTCTGGCAGCTGGACTACTGCGTCAAAGACAGCGCTTGTTCTGGCTGAATGAAGGAGTAGGCAGTAGGCAAATAAAATTGGAAAAATCCGTCAAATCACGATTGTGGGCAGCATTCTGTGTTTTTTTTCCATGCTTTTTGTTCGCTGTGGAACTAAATCAGTTCAGTTTTGGAACTTCTGTGTCTTGTGGATAAATTGAGCAAACCTACTGAAATCTGATTCATGGAGAGACTAGACAGAGCGAAGTCCCAATAATGACAACCCATAATCTAGTTGAGAATTTTTTCGATTCCTCATCAGAGTCCGGAAGGGTTTAACTCGATTAAACCAAGTGAAAGGAAAGCAGTTCATTTCCAAATCATCGCCTGGAAGGAAATCTATGGACCACTTCGAATGATGCGGATGTCCGGCGGAAATGATGCGCATGAATGTTGGCGAAGAGGCCGCGGACGCGCTAAAATGAATGAAATTTTTATCCTCTCCTACAGAGTGCATGGAAGTTCAAGACTATTTCTAACGAGCTCTTAGGACATCTCAGTGATGAGCTCCACGGAAATGCTATCTATTTCTTTGAAAGCGTGGATAAAGGGCTTGGCGTGAATTGTACTACTGGAATGAAGTAACACTTGAGTTTCTTGCAAAAGATTCGAAGTGACTGAATGGTACTTGTTTGACTGATGTTGTAAACTAAGGAGCAGCGGTTCCAGTGATCTTATCCTTTCGAATGAACATTGCTTAAGCTGCGAGTAATGGGGATTTTATATGAACGGAATGAATCGACGCTTACCAGCGAGAAAAAAAATGCCAAAGAAATCCTTTTATAACTGATTTTGAGCCGTGTACCCATAAACAGGGGGAAGACCGCCAAATAAAGGAGAGGTGACCATGTGATAAGCGTCAACGGTGCAAAGTTCACTCGAGCCAGGCACGAACCCCTGAACCTTCCAAACCAAGCCAGTTTTTCTACTTTCGACTGCGTTTTCTCGTTTACGCATCGCGTTCTGTGACCTCACCCATTTCATTTTTCCGCAAACGATAGGTCCTACACCAAAGATCCCCTTACTAAAAGCCTATTCCCGGGTACAACATATGTCCTTTTGCACGTCTAAATGTTATGACAGCCACTGTCCTTCATCTGTTTGCGCACGCAAGACCATAGCAAAATCTAGCTATCGAATAACACATAAGCCCGTAGCGCACTTGTAACAGGTTACGTGACCCTTTGATGGTTTCTGCATGATCCTGTTTAAGGGGGGGGGACATCGGCAGTGAAAAGAAGAAGCAGCTCTATCGAAAGGCTTGTATTTGATGGTAAGGGATTTAAAGGGCAAGGATTCAAAGGGCGCATGAACGCGTACATTGTAACGTAAAAATTGGATGCCATGAGGTCAAGGGCATGGTACCGCTAGCTAGACGAGTGAGCGAAAAAAATAGAACAAATGGAACTCCCGGTTAGGGTTTAAGTGTTGTCGAATTTTGATGCCGCGCCCTCCCTCGAACAAGTGGCAGCCTCGTACACGGCTGCAGGAAGCGGTGTACATGAGAAGGAAATTTCTCTGCGCCAATTATTGTTGAGCCGTCAAAATGGTTTAGAATTGGATACTTCACTCTTTCCACTACATCCAGTAGGAGCGTGTAGCGAGCGTTTAGCGCTCATCCGAATTTTACACCATAACACGGCAGAAAAAATGGAACGCTTGAGGTGATTAAGCCGGCAAGAAGCATCATCACATGCGAAATTCTTTCAGGGAAGGCAATACAGTTGAAAGAGTGTTAGTTGTATGGGAGAGCGGGAGGGGGGGGATAAACAGCAAAAAAAGACATTTTGCCCATCGCTGCGTTGCACTGGGTGATGAGGTCTAAGGGAAACGTGACTCGAGTGGGGCGAAACTATTCGAGTCAGTGGCCGCTCGGTGTATTCTAGCCTAAGAGGAAGCAACTCTGGATGCAGCGATAGAAAACAGGATTTGACGCCTGACCATGGTGCTGTGAGCCGCCATGGCATTCAGCAGGAGCGACCCTTCAGTGCCCTGCATTCTTCCATGCGATCAAATTGAATAATTCATCAAATTAAAGGCAGTTGGCACGATAATTTGGTACGCGGCGAAATGCTAGCAGTAGTGGGGAAATGGCGAAAAAACGAAGTGAAACCGTCAAAAATTCGCGAAGGAAAGCCTTCGTTCTCAATGACTCGAAAAGCAATTTCGGACGAGTTTCCCCTAGGCATTTTGCCAGTAACCGGTACGGTAGATACGGCTGCACCTATGTACCCATAAATTCATGCAGGCACTCCAGCAGCTTCTATCAACTACTGTCGCACAAATTTACTGCTCAAATAAAGCAATACGAGCATCAGGAACGGTCGTCCGGCGCTTTGTGGCGGGCGGGAGTGTGGTGTTTCGGGTTGTTATGTTGTAAGCTTAAAGGCTCTTGTAAGGAACCTTTTTTTGGATCAGCGCGCTGCTAGGGTCGTGCAATTATGCCTTGCCAAGGCGTAGTCGTCCAGCCTGCCTTCAGAACGCGTAGCGTATTCGTGCCAACCGCCTTTAAGATCGTACACTTACATGGATTCAAAAAAACCATACTCTCGCTATAAAAAGAAAGAGATGTGAAGCCATTTCAGATCTGTAAATGTTCTCCATTTCAGCATGGGATTGGGAAGGCACGGCACGTGGTTTCGGGATCTCCTACGTGACGCTCGGGACTTTGGCGATCCTTCTCAATTCGATATTCCTCTACTCACTTCTCGCAAGACGACGAAAAGCCTTCTCACATGCTTTCTACATCATGATACTTGATTTCACCATCATCGACACTATCAAAGGTAATCAATAAAATGTACCCTTTTAATAGTCCTAAAATTCATCCATTCTTTTCAGGTGTCTCCTCAATATTGTTTGCTATCAAACTACTGAAAACAGACCTGAATTCTGACCAGTCTTTATTATCAATTCGGGTCGATCAATACAGTGGCGTGCTGTTACGGTAGGTGTCCTGCTCAAGAGACAGACTTCCCAGTCCTGTGAATTATTGCTCCCGTAACCTACAGCTTTCTTGAATTACCCATGTTTGGGGGATCTTTGACAAATCATGTTGTACTGCTTATAACACTGCCCGTCTAATGCAAGTTTGAACGCACTTGTTCATCCCCTTTGTGATAATGGCGTAATTCGCGTACCGTAAACCTCAGCAGGGTGGAAGGGGTTCAACAACGGCTGGGTGAAAGACAGAGTACGCCATCACTGGGAGAATCCCCTAGGTCATACTTGATCGGTAAGGAGGGGTAGTTTCAGGTCTTGATAGAAATTTTTACGAGCCAAGAGGGGAATTTTCCCCGGTTTTTAGTTTTCACGTGCGCTATGTATCACCTTTTCCAGTCGGCAGCGCCCCAAAATTACTTTGAAATCCTATTTTTGATAATATTCTTTCTGATGATTGACTGAAAAGGACCCTCCGCTCGACTCCAGCTTTTTGGGGATAAACTGGAAAATTTTTGAAAAATTGCTACCGATTTGGAATAATTTGGTATGATGGGTATAAGGTGAGGGGGGGGAAAGAGGGAACATTGGGAAGGGATCGTTTACACCGCCATTTCACTTCACCGATGCTGTACAATGTTGCGGTACCGGTGATTCATAGGACTACGAAATCTCTCTTCTGTTCTTTTTCGGCCATCGTCAATTGCTTCACTTCTTCAGATTCGCAAATCTGGCTACCATACTTAATCTATTGAGTATTACTCTAAATGAATAGCACCTAGTCACAAGGGTGAGGTTATTCATTGACTTGATCTATTTTTTGAGTTCTGCTGCCCTTTTTGCGGTTCTATATGCTTCGAAGTGAGAGTGGGGGGGGGCAGCCCGCAGTTTTGAGTCAGTTGCTACAGTAGCCTTTTGAGAAGGAGGAAGCTCCGATGTGAGCGAACCACATTCCTCTTCAGAGTGTTAGAATGCGCGACGTGGCTCATCCACCCCCTGAGTCCCTTTTTCTCTCCTAACCCACAAAATCGTTGGCAACATGAGCGTTCACGCAGTATTGCTGGGAGGCCCCTCCCTGAACGCATATTGCTCGAACATTTCCACCATGTCGACGTTACTCAACTCAAACGGTATGCGCCGCTCCTTTAGATTTCGTTTAGATTCGCGAGGTCTTTTAGTTGTGAAGGACCGTATGGGATGGCTTCGGAAGGCACAATGCTACATAATGTTTCCATCACCTAGATGCTTCTAGCGAGCGCGCGTTTATACTTCGCGACTTGGATAATTCTTTGGCACAATTCCCGAATTGCGCGACTGTGCCCCGCCGCTAATCCTTGGAAGCTGCATGGATCAGCAAAGTATTTCTATTTTCAATAAGATTGAATTGGCGCTTGCAGCGGTACCACGATAAGGGGTGACCAATCCACTGAAATGGGCGACGTCTGACGCTTCACCCCAGCAGGCTGTAGAGCTTTGACTAACTGAAGGGTCCGATGTCGCGCAAGCTATAGCGGCTCCACTGATTCTACGCTTCTTTTAAGAGACGCTATTTACAGGAAACGGGTTGTTTTGGTGATCGTGTGCATTTGGATTTTCTCTTCATTGATGACATTTGCCAATATGGTAGCTGGTATTCAGAATCGTAGTCTATGGATCGACGATGAATGCACTCAAGACGGTAAGGTTACTGACATCACGTCCATCTCCTTGTTCTAATTGTAGGCCATCTCGAGCTTTTCCCTATTTGCACTAGAGGGGGGCGGACCGGGCAAAAAAAAAAGACAACATTTCGGCCGAGTCACATATCAGCAAAGTTTTCCCAGACAGAGGACGTGGATGCGGAGTACCAGGGCAGAAGATACCCAAGATGTTCCTCTATAAGCAGGAGCTGGCGCTCGCCCATCACCTTCATGTACACCAAAATATGAAGTCATCTCCAGCCGCAACCTGACTGGAGAAGACCTTCGGAATTCATGTCACCTCCGAACAGCTGCGAAACTTCCCGTATGGGGCACCATGGATAGCTACCTGGAGAGCCAGTACTCTCGATCTGGAAGACCTCCAACATCGAGCAGCTCCGACAACGTCGCTACGGTCTAGGACATCATCTTCACACAGTCGCCAAGGCGCCAGTTGATGGTGGGACCGGACGTACCTGGAATGGAGAGACCGATATTTTCTTCGTGGGCCCCGGACTAAGGTGAGCGCTGGCGATTACATCGAGCAACTCGAGAAGAATATCTCACATGTCGTCGCCCGTACCTTCTTGGAAACTTTGTACTGCTACAGGATTGGGTGACACCACATGGAATCAAAGGGCGTTGGGAAAACTCTTGCCTACTTGGAATGGAAGGGCGTTGAGTACCTGAAGAAGGTGAATATCTAAGCAGGTAACCTGAACTAAACCCCCTCAATTACCTGGTTCGGGCGGAGTTCAATAGGGTGGTCTACAGTGGCGGAGAAATCAACGATCTCGCTGAACTCACGCACCCACTGACGGTCGCGTGGCAGAATCTCTCGATGGCGCTCCTCCAGAAGGCTGTGGCGGAGTATCATGATAGTATTTAATATGCTCTTTAATATGATGGTAGAAATGCCCGATAAGAATTTGATAAAGTGTAACTTATAGCGCCTCGAAAGTCGAGGAAGAAAAAGTCTTTTTTTTGCCCCCCCCCTGTAGAGTAGGCGGATATTCCTCGCCACACGTTCCGGCTCATGAGAATACCATCTTACACTGTCATAGATCTACACACTTTTTTGCATGAAAGACGCTTGTAGCTTGCAGGCATTATAATCCTCTTGAGTGAACAAGGAGTCTGAGCGAGAAACGGAACCTCAAGAACGCTGTTCTGACTTTTCATAGACAAAGTAGTAAAGGGTAAAGCCTTTGGCGTTGGCCAATCCCTTCCGTGGTGCGCCATGTATCCTATTTCCACCCAGTGTCGCAGTTTTCACCCAGTATCCTATTTCCACCCATTTTGAGTGGGATCTACTTTTCAGCTGAAGCTGATTAGCTGCAAGTCTATGTATTTATTCTCCCGGACAAAACTGAACCTACTAGCCAACCCGAGCAGGATGGATCGCGTCGCTGTCGTACGCTAGTCGCTGTTTTACTATTGCTGATACTTGGTCTAAAATCCTTTGATCCACCCGCTCAAAAGATGATGAAGGAGGGATGGGGTTAGCAGGGATGGTTTTTTGGATTTATGTAATGTGCCCTAAGGGTCGCTAAACACGTTCTGTTACGCTTATTTTGATCTTAAGCTCAACATTCGATTACCTTTGTAATGCCAGAAAAAGTCGTTTAGGGCAGAGCACGGCTAGATGAGAAGTCGTTGCGGGGTTTTATGTCAATTTTGAACTATACTATTGAAAGAATCGGAAATTCTGGAAAAGAATGGGCATATTAGCGATTCTGGTGCAGCTTCTCTCTTTGTTAAAAAACCGTGGGAAATCTGAGGTAGGTAAGGGGCAAAAATGTGGATGATTTTGGGAAACTGGGCTTTCATTTCGAAGGGGATCGCTTTGGAGGCAACTTAGGAAGGTGCAGTGCACAACGACCGATTTCCCTCGTTGACCTGCCTTGTTGCAGAGACTGCCTCTTGGGCAGGAATATTCCGTTCAGAGTCTAAAAGAGCCGGATGTGTGGCTTATGGCGCCCCTGCCGTTGCGCCAAACTCACCTTTAAGTTCAACTGAAAATTATTAACTTTCTTCCAGCGAACTCAACCGCGTCATGCATACACCGTCTACAATCGTCAGGCTCAGCTCATTTTGTCTATCACTTGGGTTTGGTCGTTTTCTGTGTACTTTGCCTTGCAGTTACTGCTTTCTCCTACAGTATTCTTCTCAGGTAGGAGCTTTTTCGACCCTTTTTCAACGAATTCATTGACTTCTAATCGTTCTACCTTTCAGAGTTGTCTCTGGCGTTGTGAAAGCTGAAATGAAACAGACAGCTGAACTGGAAACTCTCAAGGAACGAATCGATGACGGTACTTACTTGCAAATAATTCAAAAGTGGGGGGAACTGTAGCTGTTTCCACTCGCTCTAGGGTGATGAAATCCTGAAATGGAAAAAAGGTGGTGATTACCCAGGCGTGCCTTCATGACCATGTGGCGAGGGAAGGATGAAGTGAATGAATATTAATGCGTTTGTGAGGTTATAATAGTTCCAATAGAATTAATGGAACAAAATGAGTAAAAAATGTAGCGAAGCGTTTCAAGTTCGAATTTCAGCTGCTGCTTTCCGATATGAGTTTTCCCTGCGATATTGTGGGCAGGGATAGAGGGAGCTACGGATATTCCCATGTACAGGAGGTATGACTGAGGAGAAAGTAGTCGGGTACTTACCTTTTCATGCAATAGCGCTCGTCATGCTGCTGGCGCTGCTCACATCTGAATGGGATTACTTGTGAAAAATTGAGCTGCTGGCGCTGCTCACATCTGCCCACTGTTAGCTTATCCCGATTTTTTTGATTTTCTTCATAAGTATGGTCACCAGGAGGTTGGTTAAAGCAAATTGTACCCTCACCTAGATCCTGGTCCTCGCCAAGTAAAGGATTGGGTAGGCTCCTTAGCTGTTGTAGCGTGCCACTTTTTCCGCTCAAAAGTGCACAGAAATGGGGCTGTAGGGTACTGGTAGCCGAGTGCCATCTTGTACTCTGCCCGCGCTATTTTCAAGATGCAGTACTTGCGTCGATGCGTCGACACCAAGGTCCCTCAGCAAGACGCACTTAGGGTAGAGAACAACCAGAAGCGAGAGATCGTAGACAAGTGGCGCGTTCTGCCATGCTTAGGCGTTTATCTGGTCGTGCAGCAGTGCGAGTCGGGGACGGTGCGCGAGAATTGCTACACGTCATCCTCCGCGCTTTTCTGGCCGGAGAAGTGGCACCGCTAATGTAGCTGCAAACCCACCCGTTCGAGGATTCACGGATCTGAGTGCACAATTTGTCTTCGGAGGTTCAATGGATGAAGAGCCCATAGAAAAGGGGAGGGCCCAAAATAGATAGGCTGAACGATGAAGACTCAATAATATAAAGAGTAGTTAGCGATGTGATGATCTCTATGATTCAACGTTCAGGTGAACGACGTCTAGATGACAAGCACGTCTTGAGGCGGCACAAATACGTCGTCGTCATTGGCACTGTAATCGGTGTCTATTCGGCTTATCTCACCGCCTATGCCACCATACAAGTGCTACAGCTTGTCAATATCAGCGAGTGAGTTTTACTATTTTCCCTTTGCGAATGACAGCACTGGGAACTGAACAGACACTGAGAGCTGCAGCTCTTTCTTCACAAAATGATCTTTCAATAAAAGTTCGGACTCATCCACGATGCACGACTCGAGCGGTTTAGTCGTGCGGCCGACTAGGCTCCACTGGGCTGCTTGGGCCATTGCCCAGTCGCAAAAAGTAATTTTCTCAATATGATTAGAAGAGCGATCGCATTGGTCCAACGATGGCGGTGGAGCGCGATAGGTCGCTGTCGCGCGACTGAGTCCCGATATGTGGGCGCGGCATCCCGACCCTCGGTCTCTTTTCTCTCGAGTGTGGGATGACGTTTTCTTTACTCGCCTTTTCTGCTCCAAAATATCACGGGATCCAACAAAATATAATGTAGATCAAGGGAGCTACGTCAGTACTACTTACTCCAACGCTTTACATTTTATTGAAAATCTTGTAAGGAAGTAATTGTAGCTTTCCATTTGCACTAACGATGAAATAAAATAAATGCATGCCACAGAACTGGAGCAGGCGCTTCATAAACGGGCGTACTCGCCTCTGTAGTGGAAGTGCAGATGATGAAACTCTCCATAACTCTTGGAATTCATCAATCTCTTTTGGATTCGCAATGGATGAGGGTCGTTGCCGCAACTTGGGAGAGGGGGCGCAATTTTTGGGTACTTCAGTGTTTTTGATGGTCCCAGACAATCCTGGCAGCAACTAACAGGCCCCTGGAGGTGGATAGGCTTAGTTAGATCCGAATTGGTGTTAGATGCTCGGATTGTATGTGGTAAGTATAACCGCTTGCCCTTGAGTGAGTCCGCATTCAGACTTCGCAATCCAATCGCTCGAGCGTTTGGATCGCGCGATCATGACCGAGTACGCTCGGCCGCCAAACGGTGCACCGAAGCAAGGGCAGAATTTAATGTGCACTGTGGGAACGCGGCCCAATTTGAATTCCCTCCGTTGCGGTGGCGCATCGTTTGGCGGTGGAGCGCTCCCGGTCAGGATCGCGCGATCTAATCTCTCAAGCGATACGATCGTGCGATTCGAACGCTTGAGCAGTACGATCGCGCGATTGATACTGTTGGAACGCGAAGTCCGAATGCGGTCTTGCACACCGCCCTCGATCCATGTTCGATAATCGATTTATTGCCTAGCGATCACCGTGGTATGAGGCTAATTAGTAACCTCAGTCCGTGGTAACTCATCAAAGTGAACAAATAGTAACCATCACCCCCCCCCACCCCTGTGGGGGAGCTTGGTAATGTCAGAGAACAAAGAAACAAAAAAGCACTAAACTACCGAAAACCACTGACGTAGAGTATTGACAAAAGCTGAAAACTACTGGGGTAGAGTGAGTAACACCCTTTACAGGACTATACAGTAAATCTTTATGATTTCAGAAATTCCAGTCGATTCCGCCGGCGGGAAACGGTTTATTTGAAGTATATTTGCTACTTGTGTATTTCACTTCATTCCCTTCTTCAACCACTCTGTTATCTACGCATGAGAGAATTTCGGCAGTCAATAAGAAGGTGAACATTCATCAAGATTATTTATTTAATTATTTACATTTATTAAAAGGTAATCGCATCAACTTTATGTATATCTTATAACAGTAATCGTTAAGTGAAGTGTTTAGTATTATAACAATAATGCTGTAAGCTACAGTATCTGTAAATACTACTTTAAAGGGCGTTGTGTGGTCGATCGAATCACGAGCCAGTCACAAACGAGCACTACTACACGACGAATTCTGCGAAAGAAACGGTCATTCCAAAGCAGTTCGTCTGATCTCCACCAGAGGAGAGAACGAAATTGATTTCCATTATTTGCACAATAAAAATCAGGAACATTGAGCATGTTGTACTGTGGACCATCAATTTATCGATTAGTCATTACTGTAGCAGCAGCTTCATTGGAACCTTTGCCCCATGCGCTCCCATGGATCGAAGTCTGGGCCATTGCGTCGAGCATCGCCGCTAGTCAGCTTGTATGCGCTCTTTTTCTTCTTCAAGCCAATCAGTCTTCCTGCGCTGGGCTTGGTGCGGACTGTTT